GCAGAAAAAAAAACACCAATAAGAGAGGAATTAAGAATGTAAACTAAAAATACAGACTATATAGTCTATTCTGTGTTTTGTTTAAGTTCCAAGGGAAAAAGCAATGTAAGCTTAAAGGATTAGAGCAGCAACCCCTAAAGGTTGTACCTGTGTCCAGCATGCTGAAAAAATAAGCCTGGAGGAGGATCATCTTGCGATTTCGCTTCAGTGTCTGTTGTTTCACCAACCTGGCAAGAAAATTAACTAAAACTATCAGGACAACGCCTAGGTTATCTAATTGAAAAGATGCATACAAATGAATGATGTATGAATCTAGAACATCTCCATTCTTTGTTGGCCTACTTTATTCAATTTTAAATGGAATACTACTTGCCTATGCTCACATCCAATCGAAAGTTTATCAAATTATATTCACATATCCAATTTCGCACTACTAATATATAAATAAGTAATCCATAGTACAACACCGGAGCCACCGGTCAAGAAGGAATTTTTCAAACTTGAACTTAACAGATTATAGAGAATCAGTCTTTACATGATAAAGCATCAAAAGACCGACAAGATATAAATTTGACAAGTGATGATTCCTATGTTAATATATCTATAGTGTATCATGAGCAGTTTTCATTTTGCTTCTTATTCTGCGGCAGTGAAGATATTAGTTGGAATCACAGAATCCATCTATCATTTAAAATGTCTCCACTCTCCATCGTTTGTGCATTTTTCAGAATCTTTTACAGTTACCATGTATTATTTTGCAGTCAAACTCTTTAATACCCGAAGACTAGCATTGTTACAGAAGATGACGATCATACAGAAGGATTCACGAATAAAAAACCTTCTCTAAGAAGCTGGATTCCCAGAAGAGTTCAAATACTTGGAACTGGAGGAGTAAACACACAAGAGAGAAGGGTAAAGGGAGGAAGAGGCAGAGTCTGACGAAGTGGCAATGACAGGAGAATCTCTACCTTCTCGTAGTCCCAAATATTTAAGAGGCCATCCTCTGCGGAACTCCCAAACACAGAAGTCCTATCAGGACACCACTGCAAAGGAAAGGTTATCAGTTACATAACGGCAACAAAACGCAGAGATACCCAGTAATCACAATTTCACTGATGAACAAAACACAGCAAATGAAACACCTGAACACAGAGAACTGCAGCTGTGTGATGTTCAAACTTATGGACCGGTGATCCAACCCCATCCGAAGTTAAATTTCGCCGGTCAAACAAGCGTACCGAATTATCAGCGGATCTGAGTTACACATGCTAAGTATTAAACTCTGCCACTAGATAAACATTAAAGAAAAGCACCCAAGCAACAGTACTCGCCATAATAGGCAGTATCTAGCTGACGGCTGATGAGTGAAATTATATAAAATTATGATATAACATGGAAGGGAACGATTTTAATTTGCAAGAAAAAAGAAAAGCAACTTGCAGCAGTACACACCCCATACTACGCTCTTACATGATTACTCTCTTTTTTCTTTCTTCATTTTTTTTGTTGGTTGGGTGGGTGGGTTGTGTGTGTGGGGTGGGGGGGGGGGGGGTTGTTTAAGCGCCTCCTCATGATTTATAGGATAAGAATACTATATAACATCATACCCGGTTATGATAAGATTGTCATTGTGAGGATTCCAGTCAACACAATGAAGATCAGCATCATGCGCTTTCTCAACCTGTAAAAGCAGCAAATACCAGTATACTCAATAGTTTTAGATATTACTCGTGGAGGCCTATCAACTGAAATTTGACTATCAAAAATATCTAAAAACATTTTAATAGAAACGGCTATATGATAGATTAGAACTATATTTGGTACAAGACACCATTATATGGCTAGCGTGAATTAAAATCAGTTATCAATACCACATGAAAAGAGCAATAATGCATGAATATCTAGGAAAAGGCTTAACAGGGTCATGTATCTATTTTGGTATATGTTGTTTTTGATGAAGATATTCGGCCTATGTTTTAACATATGTTCAAGAAATCATTGACGAGTACGCATCTAATTGCATTAAACATATATCTCCACAAGCCTGAGATGAGTTGCACATTTGCTGTTTTGACATATGATATACTACTTATCTCTACATTATTAGCAATCTCATACAAAGATGAAATTTTCCACTAAACAATCAAGAAAGTAATTATCATACCTTCACAACAGGATTATTACCAACTCGAGCATCCCACAATATGAGGCATGAATCATCACCAACACTACAAAATTCCTGTGAACTTCATGAAGGTCAAAAGAAAATTTCAGTTTCAGAAGACTTATCAGATACTTTTAAACATGTTAATCCTGCACTTTAAATACTTATTCACCCTTTCTGCTTAGGATGTCACAGAAGATGTGTCAAGAACCAAATGTTGAAGTACACTAGTCGCAGAACCTTAGCTTATCTTTGGTCTTTCTCAGTAACTCCACAATGTTCTTCGTAAGCGTCCGACACAAGAACTTAAAATCAACGCCAAAACTGATCAATGCAACCTTAATTGTTTCAGCTTCTTAAAACTACCTAAAATCCGAAGGGGACAAAAGAGGATGTAGCAAGAACATGATGACGAAGCAAATGGGAAGCAATAGGTGAAGCTTAGGGCATCGGGACAATTTCTTATATTTCTCTTCCTGGAGGATAACTCAGTAGAAGCGGATGATTGACAAAGAAGAAACTTAAGATAAATTTACCAGCAGAAACTTCAATAACCTGAAAGCCTAAGTTATAAACCTCACTCCATCATCAGAAGAAAAAGCTACCTAGACAACCTACCATGGGATCCAGCAAAGAAATTAACCATTCAAGTTGACATTACCTTGAAGGGCAAAACTGAACATCTTCAACTGTATCCTCATGGCCCTGGAAGATACCACGTGGACCAATAGATGGATTATCAGCAGACTTAATTATAGAGCCAGCTGATCCAGCAGGCTTGGTTGCATCTGCTGCCAATGTTGAAATGTGGTCTTGAATGCTCCACAATACCACAGTTTTGTCCTTTCCTGATAGAAAATTACCTCTAATGAGAAGATACTAGAAGTGCTAAAATCACTTTTCTACCACTATATTAAATAAATAGGCTACAGACAACATTGTAAGGAATGCAACATCAGACCAAAAGAATCAAAGTTCTTGATATAATTCTCAATACTTGGACTACTAGCAGAAGTTCAATTTATGAACCTTACATATCCAAAGCTGAATCTGATCAGATGAAGTTTAATTTGGAATACAAGATGGCAATGCAGATACCTGATTCCAAATACAACTAGATGAAAAAAATTGACTTTAGACATCTAAAAGAAGAGAACTTCAAACCTCCAGAGAGGACAAAGGGTTCCATTGGGCACAGTGCCAGAGCAAACTCTGCATTGTCTTGATGGCCACTCAATACCTGCAAGGACAATTAATGTTACTCAAAAAGGTTGATCTATAGATTAAGATCTGCCAAATCAAATTGCTAATGGCAGTTGACAGGCGACTGGATCAAAGATTACCGCACATTCCACAAGCAAAGAAGTTATGAAATCCACCAAAGAGGTAAGATGAGTGATGAACATAATGAAAATCACCCAAAATATAGATCAATCAATAAAAAGCTTCGAGGAAGAGTACTGACCAGATCCGGACGCGAAGCAGCAGCACCATAGACAGCATGCTTATTGGGCTGAGCTTCAATGTCCCAAATGAGAACCTAGATGCACGAATAACAAACTTGTACGAATTAAAAAGTATTGACATGCCTAAAATAGAAAGAAGCCACAGTGACTTTACAAAAGACTGTCACAGAACACCTTAAGAGGCCACTTACTTCAGGACCATCAGTATGGGTTGCCACTATGTTTTTGTTTTGTGGGAGTTCTCTGATTCTGTTAACCTGAAGAGGTATACCAAACAAAGATTCAATCAGAATTCCTCTCCGGAGAACCAAACTGCATAATTTTTTGTGCAAGAGACTAATCTTAAATAAGTTTCACGAAGTATTCTTCTTCATAGAATGTCACAAGCAACAAGGTAAATATGTAAAACATCTTTTTTTAGCTTCTTTATTCAAACTTTGTTTAATTCAAGCACTCCTCAGCATAAAGCACAAAATAACAAATGCAATTAAATCTCAACTTTACTATGACACAGAGAAAGTTATAGGATTGAAAATTCAGCATGAGCTAAAACCTTACACCCTAAAGAGCTAATCTAATGCCCCCAATGCAGTACAATCAAGCAATGGAAATTCAGTAGGAAATTGGCAATGCAAAAAAATATGTAGACAAGGAATGAATAACTATTTTCCTTTTGTTCTCAATAGCATCAGCTACATGCATTATATCACATGAGAAGCATAAGAAAGAATAAGCACATAATCAAAACTATTCGATATTCTCAAACATCAAGTATTCTTTCTTCCTTTTTTCATTTTTAATTCTGTGGTATAGACTTGTATTCGAGCATTTGTGTTCCTTATCAAAATGAAGAGTAACATGCTGGAAGGAATTTGAAAGTAAAATTACAGCTTCTAAAAGATACTTCTAGTATTGTTGAGCATACTTTTCAAGGAAAAAAAAAAGAAGCATGGAAGTGGCATATACATTTGGTTCCACGGAGAGAGATCATTAAAATATTAAGCAAAAAGAAGCTCTTGTCCTGTTTTCTCTAGAGAAAATGTAGGAAACTGTACTATTCTGATTACAGCATGTAGAGAAAAGATAATACAGCACGGAAACGAAAGGAACCTAATACAACATTTTTGTATAAGAGCAATATCAAATTCAGCAGGCAGCAGCAAAGGAACCTAATACAACATTGTATCAAGAGCCACTGAGCCAGTAGTTAACTTAGTTTGTCTATGAAGTATGAACATGCAGGCTCAGTATTTTTTCCAGTGTTCACGCAGTTCTTACCTCTCCTGGGTGTATTATGGTTTTGTACTTCTTCACAAATGGCGAGCGTGCTTCTTCATTGAACTAGAACCAAGCCATTAAAAACCAGTCATTATGATTGATTTAGAGTATAACTAAGACAAATTAAATAGTAAAACATCCTTACATTTGCAATGTGATTTTCTGCTGCAACCCTGGACTTCACCACGTCACAATTAGCTATGATCAAAGTGTTAGGCACTGACTTATCCGTCTGGAAAGAAAAGAGAGTTTAAAAATAAAAGGAAATAACAGAGATCAGACAAATTACAGAATCCAAAAACTCAACTCAAATACTGCACATGAAATGAAACAATAAATTATCATTAGTCAACACTTTCCAGTCAAAAAGCAAACTATAATAATGACATTATTTGATAATACCAATATCAACAACGATGATAATACATGTGTGGTAAGAGTGCTTTGTCTGCCCAACCCCCCCAAAAAAGGTTAGACACACAGATCTCTTTACCCTAAAGAGTCGGTACTTCTATATTAAGGAAAAAGCGTATTTTACAAAATCTTGGTCATATGGTAAATCTTTTGGGACATCAATGTAAAATACACAGGAAGACTGAAAAATATTAACCAAAAAGAACAATCATGTGCCATGTTAGCTTGCCTGTTCAGAGAGATAGAGTCGCTGGCGGTTTTTCAAAGCACCCTGCTCAACTATTGGACCCCACCTGTTGTCAAAACAGTATAACCGAGAATATGACTGACCATTTTAAAGAGCATACAAATTGATAAGACCAAGATCATGAGACAGCTCGATACCAATTTTCAGATATGAATAAAGAAAAACATGATCGTTATCCACTTCATATAAATGCAAAGCTAAAAGTTTTTTGCACAACCATCACTTAGGAATAATTGCCACGTTCCCTCCCTCCCTCCCTCCCTCCCACACACACACACAGCAAGAAAAATCATGTACAGTGTATGTTTAACCCCACTTACTCAATTTAAGATCAGAACTTTAAGCATCGCGACCAGAAAAAAACCATGAACCATGAAACCAACTAGCTCACAAGTAGAAAGGATATCACATACATAGAGTTCGTCAACCATGTGCAAGATGTATATACTCTACTACATACGTCGTATCTAACAATCATGTGCAAGTATGGACATACTAATAAATACGTAAGCATGTGTACTTATCATTCAGATCCTAAAGAAAGTAATCACAAAGATTCAGATATTTTTCCTTTTTTTCTTTTTTCTTTTCCTTTTTTTGTTTGGAATTCAGGTCTTGGTTTAAACATTAAGGGTTACACAATCTCCAAAAGAGATTTACAATATAAGGAGGAAAGGGAACAATCAAAAGGCGTGTCATAGATAATATACCGAAAGTAGTTTCTATCTTCCCCTTTAAAAGATTAGTTTTCCATTTTAAAACTATAAAACTTACTTATAATGCCTCCTTACAAGAACTACCTAAGGTTTTAACATTCAACGTACAGATTTAACTATCGTCGTCAAAATCTGTGAATGCTAATCGTTTACCTGCAACTATACATGCATAATTACATACAAGTAACATACACAAATATCCTGTTTCATGAGATCAACTATATTTTTTTGATAAGAAATACATAACCAACTTACATCCTCATCAGTACAACTTGGTTCAGCATAATAAAACTATAGTATATTGCAAACAAAAGAAAGAAATTCATAATACCGGCAGCAAAGAGAAGGCCATAAACCGCTATGATTAGTGAACCAATCATACAGGATCGCGATATTAGACTTCCACGTCAGATACTTCTTACCAAACTTGCAACTCTTCTCCCCACCTTCACTACTAGATCCACTAAGAGCCCCTTCTCTTTTGTCTACCTTTTCTCTTACAGAACTCTGGGCAACTACCATGTTGGTTTGTAGATGGATCAAATCTATACAATAAACAGAAGCAAGAGCCAGCAAAAATTGTAATGGCTCAAAATGGATATTTATCCTCAAACAACTTTATTAAGTTGAAATGACCAAAAATGAGAAGATAGCTGCCGTGATTATTTCATGCTCTTGGTTCCTTGTGGAATGCAATGACTTCCTCATATGATGTGAGAAAAATATTAGGGAAAGTACTGTCTGGATACACAACTGAGACGAAGAAGAAATTATAAAGCCTTCACACAAACTACTTTGCAAGACAAGAAAAGTATTTTTTGGTTTAATAAGTCTACGGCAACCTACAATCATCCTGAATTGACCTTCCATGAATAATTTGAACAATTTTTGTTCTTTTGACCTTCCATGAATAATTTGAACAATTTTTGTTCTTTTTGCAATTATTCATTAAATTTTTTTATGAAAGTTCTCAAAAGTGGAACATAACACACTTTTTAAGAAAATAAAGGAAAATGAAAACTTCATTTGACTATGTGAATTCTGATTGATTATGCTCTGAGGAGTATAATTGAAGAAAAAATGTTATTCCTCCGTTTCATTTTATGTGACAATGTTTGACTAGGTACAGAGTTTAAGAAAGGAAGGAAGACTTATGGAACTTGCAGTCTTACACATGACATGACACTTTTGTGGCTAAAAAGGCTTGTCATTAATGGTAAAATGAGAAGTTTAAAGTTAAATCGTAATAAACCATTCTTTCTCAACAGACTAAAAAGAAAGAAGTCACATAAAATGGAACAGAGGAACTAGTATTTGTATAAAGGTATGGAGGCATGCATTTATGCAATTTTGACAAATTCTTAGAAATTTTCATGACACTTCCTAAGCGAAAAATAAAAAATAAAAAAAGTGAAGCCTCGATAGTAAAGGAAAGGAAAGAAAAAGCGAAAAAAAGAAAGATTGAAGCCTCAAAATATCTTTTACTAGACACTACGGAAACGAAAAAGGCAAAATACCCATGACATGAGTTATCTTGTTAGATACACCAAAACCGTAGAACTATTGGAAAATGAAATGAACTCGAATTTGAAAATTCAATAGTCATAGCTGATGAGGCCAGCCTTATCAAGTAAAACCATTAAAAAAATTATAAGGAAAACCATCAATACATCCAAATGAAGCTAAAATTGCATTATATTAGAGGTAAAAGATTAACTTATTTAGAAAGATTTGATAAAAATGTTAGCAGTCCTTGAGTCTTAAACCGAACCAACCAAAAATAGAAATAACGATAAGAAAATCCAATATTAGTAACTATAGATAACACCCAGTCAGTCAGCATATCAAAGAAAAGTAACTAAGATCTGAAGATGAAAATAAAGATGATATCATTACTTATCAAAGGGGAAAAATCTTTATTTATCAAGGATGTAAAACTTATAACCTTCAAAATAGTTATTGAAGATACATAATGTAGAAAAAAAACACGGCTTCGGCTTATATGATGAAATGCCGTTAGCAAATAAAGAATGAAAAGCGAGAGTGCCCATCTATAGATATATAACATGAAAGATTGATTAGGTGAGAAAGATTATCACTAAAATCAAGCACAAGAAAGAACCTGAAATTACTTGCAAAGGCACAAATGATGGGAGAGGCGGATGCAGGAGGCGAAAAGAAGAAGAGATGGAAATAAGGGTTTCACCGTGTATAATTAGTGGACGAATTTACCCCTAAATGTGGAGTCATTATATTAATGAACTGCGGATACTTCCAAAAAGCGAGCAGTTCAACGAATAATTAATTGGATTAACTCCAGATTTAAAATAAGTCAAATATCACCCTTCATTAAACCCCTACTAAAAGGCAGATTGCATTTCCACATTGTTGTAAGCACTACTTTAGCAATTTCGGAAGCAACATTTACCATCTATGTTACTACCCTATTTTACAATGGTTGAAGCAATTGTTGCCTCAAATTTCATCTCAGCTTAAGAAACAAGATACCAATAACCTTTATCAGTAATTTCATTAATTTAAGCCCTTCCTCTTGGAAAATTGTAGTTTCCTAGATAGATATAGAGCTACATTAAAGCCAAGTCAATGAAATCAGCAGGTCAAAACTCTAAAGGAAATCGGCAACAGCACAACAATCTAGTGAAATAGCTGACATATCTCATAGACCAAATCATTAGCCATGCAAGTAAAAACTAGCAAAACAATATGCAGCAAAACATAGATCTCGTCCGACAGAGTGGTACAAATAATTGAAGCATGGGCCAGCAACAACAAACATCCCTAAGTTATATTCATACAGTCAACCTCAAGTGTGAACACTTCAATAAAGTGTGGCACCACATATCGAGGTATATAGTAGGCCTATTTACTTTTAATAATGGGTAATTTATTAAACAAAGTAAGAAACTGCTAGCAAAAAAGGAGATGTTAGCAGTTGATAATTACGGACGGTTACAAAAACTCAGTTACTACAGTGATTGTATTGGATTAAGGAGATCAAACACGGGATCTTGTCATATATACTAACAAGTCAGACAAGTTCCGCAAAGATCCAAATTGCTACTGACATAAATTTTTCTTAATCGACATAAGGAAAACTACCCACAATCCACTATGGATGACAGTTCAAAATTGGTGTAGGCAGTGTTTGACAGCTATCTCTTCATAGCTTTAGAGAAGTGCACTTCAAACAATGATGCGCTAAATGATCCCAATGAGAAACGGCCAATTATTTTAATTGTGTTTTTAAGGATTTGGATTAATATCTGCATTATTGTATATTACATGTTGAAAACATGAAATTAGTGATACCCCAAGGCTTTGGCCTAGAGGTAACTGGTAAGAGCGCAACACCTCACGAGTTTGAACCTTGTTGCAGACAAAAGCCTAGAATTTCAATGGAGAAGAGTAGAGGGAGAGGCCCATCATTGGCCCTTACGAGTTTCTCGATTATCAAAAATAAATTGAAATTTGATTATTATAGGACCAAATTCACATATGTTCTACTAACTTTTAATTTTCCGTAAGTTGTGTGCTTCACTTCAAAGAAATGTGAACTTCATGTCTCGCTTAGTTCCATGAATTTTTTTTTATTTTTCCTTTTAAAAACACCGGGGACACACTTATGACCAGATTACAAATTAATTATACCTTCTCATTCAATTTTGTTTTTTGAAAAAATGAGCAGCACAGTCATTATAACACAAACAACAGGGCAATGTGCGAGCTTCTTCATAAATAACCGTCATACGAGTTGAATACAACAGCTAAGATTTTCACTCTGATGCGTTAAATCATAGACCGGGAGTATCAAATATCACTGTAAACCCTAGCAAAACAGAGTCCCGTACACATAGTAGACACACGCCTAGGGTTCCAAAAGTACCAAACCAAAACACAGAGGTTCTCGAAATTTAAAACACACAAAATGGGCGGTTTAATAGGAAATATGTATACCTGCAAGAGAGGGAAGGCCAAACGAGGTTGTGATTAGCGAACCAGTCGTAGAGAACAGGGACGAGTGACTTCCACTGAACATATTTCTCGTCGATAGCATTAGCAGCAGCTTTCTTATCAGTAATACTACCTCTCATCCTGTGAGGCTCCTTATCTCTTTCCTCTTTGGTTTTGGTTGAAGAACCCTTTGGCCTGCCACGCTTCTTTGGCTGAGAAGAAGGAGTTGTTTCCATGGCAGAAATTTTTTGGGGGGAAAGTTAAAACCTTTAGGAGAAAACCCTTGGAACACAACTTGGACCTACAAATTATAAACAACAGTAATGAATAGTGACTGTTGAAAGTTAGAAAGGGTTTTTATAGGAAAATGAAATGAATTGAAAATGGCAGCAACAAAAAATAAAACCTGATAGACACTGCCTTTTTCTTCTTGGATCTATTTATGGAAATGTATTTGATTTTTGAAACACAAAATTGCTCCACCTTTCTTCTTCTCTAGAAACTAGAAACAAATGAATTTGAGGATACTAACAGCTTGTTTGGATGGTTGTCCCCATTCTATTATATTGTATTGTATTGTTATCCCAAAACAATGTTTGTTTTGATTGTTTCATTAAAATTGGTTGTATTGCATTGTTAAATCTATTGTTCCGGAACAATAAAAAGTCCCTTTTTTTAAAACAACTGATTTGGTGTGGTGGGATTGTTTCCTATTTTTCTTTCCAATTATGTCCTAGCTTATTACTCCACAATTCTATTTTACCCTTTAACTTTTTTTTTCTATTTTAACTCCAAATCTCCAACCTATAACCTACTTTGTTTTTTTCCAGAACTTCTGTCGCCAATGTTTCCTGTTTTATTTCTTCTCCTAATTTGCTTTTAACTCAATTCTAACTAGATGTGCTCCGTTGTTTTGCCTTCTTCTGTCTCGCTCCTTTGTTCTGCTTTCTTAAGGTGTTTTTGCCTTCTTGTGTTTCTAATTATTTTTATGCATAATTTTTGATAAATCTAATATTTAAATAATTGAGGATATTTTAGTAAACTTATCAGTTACAGTACAGTACGATACAGTCAAACCAAACAGCAAAATATTATTTAACAATAACAAACAATACAATCTATCCAAACATTGTATTTGATGGAAGATTTTTTCAAAAAAAAATTACTTTTTTTCGAAATCAGTTTTTGTTCATAAAATTCCAATTTTCACTTGAAGATGCATTTTGAAAATTTTCGAAAATTGAAAAACTGTAAAAAAAGCTATTTTTCAAAATTTTCACTCAAATCACTCACAAAACTTCAAAAACAACCCAAATTGAAAATTATGTCCAAACACAACTCTAAATTTCAAATACCATTTTCACTTGAAAAGTTTTTTCACCATTTTTCGAATTTTACAATTCTAAAGTCCAAACGCCTACTAATTGTATGTCTGAGTCTCAAAATTAATTAACTATAAGGGGTTGTTTGGTATGGTGCATAACAATAATGCTGAATATAGTGTATTAGTAATGCTGGTATTAGTTATGTTTGCATTAGTTATGCTAACATATTTCTTATTCATTGTTTGGTTTAATGTATTAAAGCATTGCACAATTTCTAAAAGAATTATTTGTTTACAAAAATGCCCTCAAAACCAATCTATCACTCTATCATTTTTAAAGAAATATATGTTGAGGAATGTTTTTATATGGATTTTTTTCAGAAAAATTATTTTATTTGTCTACATATATTGTAGTATAGGACTGAATATTTATTCATAAAAAAAGAAATATGCTAAGTATTGATTTATTTACTAGGGATATAATTTTATTTCTCACTATTTGGATTATTTCAAACTTGCACTAATATAATAGCATATTTTAATTAAGCATAAATTTTGAAGGACAATTTTGTCTTTAACTAAGCTAATACATGCATTAAAACCCATTGCATTGTTAATACCATAGTTTTCTATGCATTAGTTATGCATAGGATAATACCAAATAGGGTGTATAACTAATGCTTGCATAACTAATGCAGAGGTTCAAAATGTATACCATACAAGGTATTATTAATACACAAAGCTAATGTATGCATTATTTTTAATGTATCCTACCAGATGACCCCTAAGTGTCTTTTCTATTTATTTCGCCCCAATTAGGACTCATTTCTTTTTATATTCCAAAACAAAAATAGCGTACTAGAAAATGGAAGTAGAGATGTACTAATCAATTTTATCGTTCAAAAAACGCATATAATTAATTTAATAAAATAGTTATAATGATTAACAAAATAAGTTTTCAACAAGTTGGTTATATTCAAGGAACCAAGAGGAATCTTTAAAAAATCCCAATGTAAAATTTTCTATCATTTTTTGTTTTAAATTCTATTAATAGAGTTTGAATCTTCCACCTCAACTACCAAAGGTAAAAAGCTTATCAAATGAGCTAACCCTCAATCCCAAAAGAATTTACTATGAGCCTTTGGAAAAGCCATCTTGAAAATGGATTTAGGTGTAATTGGATATAATTACACAGTTTGGTATGTTTGTTTAGCCAAGTAATTACTTGGTCAGCATGTAATTGGGATTGAAGTGGTATAATTACACTCTCCAATTTTTAGGGGAGGTGAGAATCGGTGGTAATTACAATGTAAGTTTTTAGTTTCTTCCTTTTTGTTTTTATTTTAGTTTATTTTCTTTATAACTTTTTATTTCTATTATTTTAATTTTTTTAATTTTATTTTTACTTTTTAATTTCTTTTGAAATTTTAAAATATATTTTTTTGTCCATTATTTATCTTTTATTTCTCTATCTTTACTTGTGATTCCAAGTAATTGCTTATATTTTATTATTTTATTTTGAAAATACATCTCCTAATATTGTTTGTCATTAACAAACTTGACATATAATGAGTGATGCAAGTAAAGTGGAATTTCTTTGTTGAATATGGTTATAAACTTATCATGTTTTAATCTTAAGTTGCAATGGTACTTACTATTATTATGACGGAATTTGACATATGTGAAAAGTATTTTTATAATGTTAAAATTGTGTTATATTCACGGTTCCAAATTACTTGTTATAGTAGTATTGGCTCGCATTGCATGTTTTTCATTTTTTAGTTAGAATTGATAGATTAGTTTTGTCAAGTATTTGAATAATGTTATGACATTATATTTATAAATATTAATTTGTTTTATCAAACTTGAATTCCATGACGTTCTTACAAAATATATATTTAATTTTTGTAAGTATCTAAACTAAATATTATTAATTTAAAAAATATATATAAATTATTTTTACAGTATTAGTCTATCGGAAACAGCCGCTCTACTCCTCCGGAGTAGGGGTAAGGTCTGCGTACACACTAGCCTCCCCAGACCCCACTTGTGGGATTTCACTAGGATGTTGTTGTTGTTGCCTCTTACCTCCATGAAATGCATTATCCTAATTTTATAAGCAGTGAACATTTGGAAGACTCAAAATGGACATAAAAGAGAAAACACAGTAGATCCCTTACAGGAAAAGAAAAAGAAAAAAGAAAACGAAGTCCTGATTGTCATTCAGTTCCTTAACTCTCAGACTACTCAAGGAGGTGACAATCTGTTATAGTTCTACAAACAGTCAAAATGGCATTCATTTTGAAGCTGAATACAAAGGCTCGTTTCTATCCATGTCTGCAAATCAAACATACACGCCTGACGCAAGCAGCAAGAACAATGATCCAAAACCCTGCATCAGGTTGAGATGGGGGGATCAGTTATCCAATACAGAGGAAAAATCAAATCACAATTGTGAGTTTGCGACATACCAAGAAAACAGATGCTACTGCCCCACTCGTGAGCTCCTTTGCAAGGCTGCGATTCTTCCTTGAAGAAGTAGCTTCATAGCTGTTACACATTTATAGCTCTGTTACAAAGACAAAAAGGCAAGAGAACCTGTAGAATGGAGAACCTCACTAATGCGGCAAACTGATGCTCTTTAAACCATAACCCTGTTATGAGTAACTCTTTGAAATTCTATATCTCATTAAAGAGGATATTTCATGGCCGCTAATAGGTTTGATTATACAATACAATCATAGGACGAAATCTGTTTCATATTTTTCATATTTTTAAGTGCTTTCATTTTTTAAAGATGGTTCGAAGTATTTCATTATTCTCAACCAGAAACAAGCTTTACGCAAATGTATTTTTTTCCAATGCTTAACCTGCTATATATGTTGTACAAGGAATTGGAGACATGAGTATCAAGCGAAGTAACCAAGTTAAATAGGAAGACAAAGAAATGCTTATCTAAAAAATAACATGATCATCTAAGAATCTTGGGTTTTTGAGGAAAGCAACCTCATAATCAAATATTGCTAGAAGGGCAGTCCTTACACCTCTTCTAGCTTGCTCAATAGTAATGTAAAAGAACTTAAAGAAGTTCTATACCAGGTTCTCACATGTCATATCTTAATTTTGAAAAGGTGCAACCTTAATCTGTATCAACTGTTGAAAAGTGATAGAAAAGGAAGGAAATAGTACTAAAGCAGAAAAGTCTATGTAATATTGTTGTATACTCCAAAATCAGACTAACATGTATCAAGTGAAGTACAAGCAGAGCTTACGATTTCCTTAGGATAAGCCCCACATCATAGAGATATTTTCTAAAAATGAAAAGAAAGGTAAGGCCAAATGACTTTCCTGCATTTATTTTCCAGACAAGGACCGGAAAATCTAGTTTTTTTCAATAAGGTAAAAGGTGGACAGAAAACTCAACTGAGTTACAACCAGAAAATCTAGCTTTCAGTATATATATTAGTCCATTCAATCCCTTAAGAAGGACACAAACTGTTAAAATATCACTTGTGAAGGCACATTTCATCTACCCTCCCAACCATTTGCTACTCTGCCGCTTCCACTTCAAGGCTCCTAGTCAACCCTTCTTTTTTACTTTTTCCCCCCTTCTGATGGCTAAGAGAATTTATTAAGAACACACCGAGGCGGTGCCAACAAAGTGAACAGAAAACATCCAGTATACAGTGAAGTATACAACCCAAAACCCCAAAAAAGAGAAAGATTGACCAAGTCTTATTATCAATCATGCTGAGTAACAATTGCTCTGGATAGGATAAAATTGGCCTAGCGATCAATGAAAAGGGTTGACAACCATGACGTCTCAAGTCTTTATCAAAAAATTAAAAAATTATTAGGCCTCTTGTTCAAATCCAAGCGGAGACAAAAACACTAGGTGATTTCTTTCCATTTGTCAAGCCTTGGTGGACTAAGATACCCGGTATCTGTGCCGGTGGAGGTAGCAGGTATCTTGTGGATTAGTTGAGGTACGCACAAGCTGATCCTAAGTCCGAACACCACGGTCATAAAAAAATTAAGATAAACCCATACCAAAATCCCTTCCGATAATCTCATCACATCCTTTTACAATCTCACTATAATTGTCTGAGAGAACCAAGTTACCCCCTAAAGGCAAGCAACAAACAATAGCAAGAATGAGGATTCCATAGGTTACAAGTTATTATGGAGAAACTTTTGCTCGAGTATATACAAACCTTGCTTTAGGATGATGTTGTGCAGCAGGTGAGTCTACATTCAAGTGGTAAAGAAGAATTTCACAACCATAACACTCCTTGAAGACTTTTGAACCGTGTAAAAGGAGGAACAAACCAAGAATGTTTCCAATGTCTAGCTACATCGAGATTGTAGGGATATCCGTGTGATGCTAAATGGAAGTTCATGTGACTTGTAAAATTTCAAGTCATCTAGAAAGCACATCATCATCAAGTTGCTATCATCTTATCAGATATCTGAAATACCCATAATCCTCCCCCTCCAACAATGTTGCTCAAGGAAGGATGAGCAAGATGCAACCAATGAAGGCTCCTTTTTGTATGGCGTAAAATGTTTTCATAGAAAATAAGGTACATGTTTTACTGTTATAAGTTGCTATCAGAACTTAAGTAACTCTAATATTACCATCCCTAACTGGATGGAAGCGCCTTTGGAGGAACAAAGCCCCTTTGACAGTGGAATGTTTAACATGGTTGGTGGTCCAAGGAGCATGTCCAACTCAAGATAATCTCCAGAGAAGAGGGTTAAACCTTTGCAGTAGATGTTCACTGTGTGAAAGGCAGATTGAGGATCTCAACCACCTTTTCATTCACTGCTCCTTCACCAAACAGATATGCAACTTTATGCTAAGCATTGTTGGGGTTAACTGGTCAATGCCGAGGACAACTAAAGAGTTACTGCAATGCTTGTCAAGGAAGGGGCTAGGAAAGGTAAAGATGAAAACTTGGAACGCACTTCCTGCAGCAGTTTGGTGGACCATTTAGAGGGAAAGGAATGCAAGAATTTTTTATAGCAAATGTGAATCTGAAATTAGCATCAAGTACAGATGTATTTCTCTAATTTTTTTAGAGTAACATGGCAATTGCCAATGATACTGAGGCCATGATAGAATCGTTAAGCTAACTACACGACGTGTAATGATGTTGACCCCTGTACATATTTACAGCACTCAGTGTCTCACTTCCCCGGACCCGCGCACAGCGAGCTTAGTGCACGGGCTGCCCTTTACTGTCTCTCTTGTTGCTGGATATCAATAATACTTATCTTAATGATCAAAAAAGAGTTACAAATTTTACCTGGGGTAGTTCATTTCTTGAATTATATAGACAGATTAAGCAAAATAATAATAATTCAGGAATCAGAAAAGGATATCCAACAATTGAAGAATGTATGAATCAGATCGAGCACTTACATGAGGAAAGAAGCCGTTACGACAAGACCAATAGCGAGCATGAACACGGCTAGAGTTGGGTACAACGACTCAGGGACTGGACTCGAGATCGGTTTTGCTGATTGAGCCTTCCCAAAATAAATTTCGAAAAAGAAAATCAAAATCTATAACAAACTCAATGAAATGAAACCATGATAAAACTAAAAACAATGAAGTGAAGTTCATACCATTTCTGAAACCTATAATAAGGGTTCAGATCTTCTCGACCGGACTCGTCTGTAGATTCTATACTCCGAACGCCCAAGTCTTTGTATTTCTCTCCTTGATATGATACTGACAACGGAATTTAGAATGTCTTATGAATATTGCTTTTGTCTTAATAACCATGTATATTATGATTCGTTATGTAGTAATCAATAAAAATGGATAATTAAGTTAATAATTTTATCATAATATTATAATTGATTTCAAAATTATAAATATTAGGAAAAATAATTAAATGTCAATGTTATCCTATTTGAAATTTATTTTAGGGTAAAAAGGTTTATTAATGTTTCGCTCTAAGGCTATGTGCTTTTATAATAGTTAATATATATTTTTAGTGATTAAAGAAATATAACAACATATATTTTGCTCGCAAGAAAGAAAAAATATTTTCTTCTGTCTATTAAAATGAACTTGAAATAGCTTTTCAATTTTTTCAGAAAAGCTCTTAGATCTTCAAAAGCTATGTATTCTTGCTAAAACTGATAATTTGAATATAAAGAATTTGAACTAAGTTTAATTTGAACATATTGAATGATGATTGGGGAATTTTATAGGATACAATTTCCTCCTTTATTGAGGTAGCTATATATAGGATCAATATACATCAATTTAAAAATTTAAAAATTTTACTTTTATACTCGAATATAAATTTAGTAAGTATATTTACATATTGAGATTAGGTACACACGTAACGCGCGTATTGTGAATTTTACCAAATAGTAAAGACTCCTAAGCAAAAAGAAAATTGTATGTGCGATTTAAGGCAAAAAAATTTAACCAAAAAGATCTCCTAAACCTAAAAGTATTAACTACAAAATAAACACATTTAATACTCCAACATAGGAGCGAAAATTTAGGCCAGGCAGAATTTTTTTAACGACAAAAAAGGTCTCCAAAACCTTAAAGGTATTAACTACTCCAACGTAGGGAGTAGAACGAATAGGAAAAATTTTAGGGATTAACTTTCCTAGACTGTTAATAATAGGAGACTAATTAAATAGCTATTCCTAAATAATAGGAGAATTAATTAAATAATTATTTCTAAATATTAATGAAATACTCAAATTACTATTTCGTCTAATGTGAACTCTATATTTTAAAGGTAAAAAAGGCGAACGACATTTCGCTAAGGGCCTACGTGCTTTTAATATAGTATAGAAAATTTAAATGGCATTTGAGAGTGATTTATAAGCAATAGTCGTATTCCCAAATGCGCTTATAAGTCATCAGCCGAAGGCATACAAGTCCCATCATAAGTCGTATTCAATTAATACAATTTATACTGATAAACGCAATGAATGCACTTTATAAGTCGCATTCGACACTCAAACCGATTTATAAGTTGCATTCACTGAATGCGTTTTATAAGTCGTTCTCTCTGAATACAATTTATAAGTCGACAAAATGATTTATAAATATCAAAACTTTCAGACCGATTTATTTAAGTTGCTTTCAATGAATGCGTTTTATAAGTCGTCATCTCTGAATATGCTGTACAAGTCGTATGCAGCTAATGCAATTTGTAAACCGCATTTTGCTAAATTATAAGTCACACTCGACTAATACATTTATAGTTTTAAAGAATGCAATTTATGGCCTCTAACGCCTTACAGTTTTTTCGCATTTCAAATTTTTATTTTTGACTTTATATTAGTTATTTACTGTATAAATTGATCTTTAAGGTCATAGCAGCAAGAATTCAAAAGGTCATTGCATCCATTATCAGTGAAGCACAAGCAGGCTTTATACCTGGGAGAAAGATTGGGGACAATATCATCTTATCACATGAACTAGTGAAGGCTTACACAAGAAAGCATGTATCTCCAAGATGCATGATAAAGATAGATTTGCGAAAAGCTTATGATTCAGTAGAGTGAATATACTTGGAGCAGATCATGGTGGATGATAAGTTATGGTATCTTGTGTTTTGATGATTTGCCAAACAATCTTGAAGAACCAGTTGTGATCAATTCCTTTGGTTTGGTTCTCATGGGGAATATGACTGATTTGCAGGAAGGACAATGTGGAGATCTGGTTCTCAGTGGGAATATGAATTCTAAGTTTGTCATCATCAAAAAGGGGAAAATTGATAAGTTATGCGTCTTTTGCTTTGATGATTTGACAAACTTCATGAGAGAAACAGATAAGGAACCTGATACAATTAGTTCTCTTGCGTTCAGAGTAACCAATCAGATGTCTGGTTCAATTCTCAACGAAATCAGATAAGGGAACAACATAGGTAACAGATATGGATCAGCTCCCCTGGTCGTCGTATAGTCAAATCTACAGCTTTAAACATTCTCAAGACTTTAAGATCACAATGATCCAGTTTGGGATATGGCTCAACTCTTTAGAGTCGAAGGAACAGCTGAGGGAACAGGTCCCTATCAGTTCCCGAGGTGACTGTACAAAGTCAACTCTCCAGCTGGAAAGTGCTGCCTGCACACGCTACAGTGCAGGAACAGTGCAGCAGTCACCTTTCTGCAGAAAGCTTTTTACCTACCTTGCTTACATCATTGTATGTGAGGTCACACATGTATTATTAACAACAAGGGAGGTAAAACACAATCACTTGAATACTTGCAAAATCAAAAGAAAATATTCTCTCAAGTGCTAGACACAACCTCTCTAATGAATAAAGTTGATAATGCAACCTCAAGGACCAGATCCAACGATTGAAGATATTTAAGTCCTTAGGTTTGTTGAGTCTTTGTTATTTGTTCTTCATTTGTAACTCCTACTTAGCTTAGTTAGAAGCATTGTGTAGGAAACCCTTTGTAAATCATAAACCTGTGTGTTTGTGTCTTGGCTAGAGTTACTCGAGTTATGAAGTCTTTGTAATAGAGTTATTACAAAGTGTCTTATAATAGTGTTGTTACAAGTTAGTGAGTGATTAAGTCTTTGTAATACAATTATTATAAAGTGGCTTGTAATAGTGTAGTTACAAGTTAGTGAGGGATTAAGAGGTTAATTCCTAGGTTACAATAGGTTGTAATCTAAAGATTGCTCAGTAGTGAAGTTGAAATCCTACAAGGGCAGGTCGTGGTTTTTAATACCGTTGAGCTGGGAGTTTTCCACGTAAAATTCCTCTGTGTTCTTTATTTGTTGCCGATTTACTGTGGGAACAAACAGAGAACCCGATTCCCTATACAGACAGTTTGTTGCTTACAGTGGTAACTGATAGAGAACCCGGTTCTCTATACAGTTTGGCGGATGCTTAGTTTCTATCAATTGGTATCAGAGCAGGTTCTTTCTAAAAGGTTAACACCTAGAAAGGATCTACATGGCTGCTCCACCAAACTTCGAGGAAGGACAATCAACGTACAGACCACCAAGATTCAACGGTCAATACTATGGTTGGTGGAAAATAAGAATGCATGACTTCACAATGGCTGAGGACTCCGAACTTTGGGATGTGATTTGTGATGGTCACTTTGTCCCTATGAAGGCTGTTGGAGAGGGAACAAGGACTGTTCCAAAAACAAGAAAAGAATAGAATGGTGTTGACCGAAAAGTTATTGAGAAGAACTTCAAGGCAAAGAAGATTCTTGTGTGTGGTATTGGACCAGACGAGTATAATCGTATCTCGACATGTGAATCTGCCAAGGAAATCTGGGAAGCTCTTCAAACGGCTCCCGAGGGAACTACTCAGGTAAAGCAGTCCAAAATAGATATGCTTACAACTGAGTATGAACTCTTTAAAATGTAATAGGATGAGTTCATTCAAGAGATGCATACCCGTTTCACCTCCATAATCAATGAGATTCATTCACTTGGTGAAATCATTCCAACCAATAAGCTGGTCCGGAAGATACTCAGTGTTCTACCAGGTTCCTGGGAGAGCAAGGTTAATGCTATCACTGAAGCCAAAGACCTGCAGAAGCTGACTATTGACGAGCTTATTGGTAATCTCAAAACATATGAGATGAAGAGAAAGAAGGATCTTGAAAGAAGAGAGCCCAATGAAGAGAGGAACCTGGTTCTTAAAGCTGCCCTCACTGACTCAAGTAGTGATGAATCTGAAATGACGTATCTCACTCGAACATTTCAAAAGATGGTTCGTAAAAATGGTGGAATCCCAAAGAAAGGAAGTTCCAGCAGGAATTTCAAAGGAAATGATTGCTGTCATAAGTGTGGAAAGCATGGACACTTCATTAAAGACTGCCCTCTTCATAAGCAAGTTCAATACAAAACCAACACTGATAAGGCAGCTAAGAGGAACCCGGTCCCTGACAGAAAATTCAAAAGAAGAGATGTTGCTGACAACATGGTGAAGCAAGCTTTGGCTGACTGGGGAGATTCCTTCAGTAAATCTGAAGGTGAGGATGACCAAGGAGATGCATCTATGATGGTTGTTGATAATGAATATGAGTCAATCTTTGCACTCATGGCTCAATTTGATAATGACGAGGACAAGGAGGAAGATGAGGTAAGTTTTCTTGATGTTCAAAGAAATTTAAAAACTTACTCTAAGAAAAAATTGATGTCCTTAGCAAATGTGTTGATTGATGCCTACCATAGCCTTATTAATGATAAAGATGCTTTAATAGAAGAAATTGGTGACATAGAACAAGAAAGGGATAATATGGTAGTTTCTATTTTAGATTTGAAGGAACAAGTGGAAAAAGTAACTAGAGAAAATAACTTGTTGAAAATCCAAACGAAAAAATGGATGGACAACACTAAGGGTAAAGAAGTGGCTAGTAAGGCTCAACTTGAGTTTGAGAGTAAGCATAAGAAAGCTAAAACAAGTCTTGTTGTTGAGCTTGAAAAGAATAGACAACGTCAGGAGGTTTTAAAAAAGGGTTAAAAATGATCTTGATAAGTCACTTACTTGTACCTGGTCCTCTGATGTAATATCGTCTATGTACAAGAGTGATGGTGGAAACAGGCAAGGAATTGGGTTCCAAAAGGCTAAAACCTCCTATAATCCCTATAGCAAGTATGTAATTGTGGCTGATAATAGGTTGTGCACTCACTATGGTCAATCGAGTCATTACAAGGACTCTTGTAAAACTAAAATTCAGGCTTTGCATAAAAACAAAGTTTTTGTTGAAAAAAGGCGTACTGATGAGGAACCTGGTTCCCTAAAAAAAAATATGTGCTGCCTGCATGGGCAAAAACAAGTTTGATCCGCCCGTACTATCATTATAAGGGACCCAAGCTGGCTTGGGTTCCTAAGTCTAATCATTGATTTAGTGTGCAGGCAGAAGTGAGAGGTAGAAGTCAAAAAAATGGTACATGGATAGTGGCTGCTCTAAGCATAAAATTAGAAGAATGAATGATGTCCTCTCACTCTAGGCCTTCCAAGGTGAGAGTGTGTCTTTTGGAAATGACAAGAAGGCTATATTCTTGGTGTTGGCAAAATTAACAAAACGCTCTCCCATGCAATTGAAAATGTGTACTATGTGAATGACTTGAAATGTAGCTTGTTGAGTGTGTCTCAAATCTGTGATAAGAAAAAAATGAAGTGAAGTTCTTGTCCAGATACTGCATTGTCACCAATCTCAAAACTGGTGAAGTGGTGTTGATAGCCAAAAGGTTCAAGAACATCTATGTTGCAGACCTTGATTCACTTAATGGTGGTGATCTAACATGCCTAAGTGTCATTGATGATGATGCTGAGTTATGGCGTAGATGACTGGGGCATGTGAGTTTTTATTTGCTGAACAGGTTGGTTATGGAGGACCTGGTTCTTGGGCTGAAGCAGTCAACACTTCCTGCTCCTTGATTAACAAGTGCATGATCGGGTCCCTTCTCGAGAAGTCTCGCTATGAACTGCTCAATGGGAGAAAACTCAAGCTGACTTACCCAAGAGCCTTTTGATGCAAAATGCTTTGTTCTCAACAATAGTGGCAAAGGGCCACATAACAAAGAAGATAAAGATGGAGAATTCACAAATTCCCCTGGTGAAGCTATATATATTGCAAATGGAAAGACTGATTTGATGTGTCAAGTCAAGCAGAGCAATGTAGAAGATACAACAGAATCTCCAAAAGGCAAAGAGGGACTTGGTCCCTCGATGATCGGCTATGTTAAGAAGGAAAGGTACAATGCTAAAAAGTATTTTTCGGCGACATCTAACTCAAATCTATACTGTTACAGGTATACACATATGGCAGTTTCAAGACAAAAATAAGTAAGAGTGACATTGCAATTCTAGAAGTCTTTGCTTAGATTTTTTTAAAACTGTCAAGGAACCTGGTTCCTGCGACTCAGGTTAGTGGTCTCTTCAATACTTATATGCCTTTTTAAGCTGCTGAAGTGTCATGTCATTAATTTATTCCCGCCTTTCTCCTGCCTCTATACTAATTTTTGAAGTCCAAAATGTTAAACCTCTTCTGAACTGACCCGTTGCCCCAAAAAACCACTTATCTATTTTACACCCAACCAAAACCAATTCTTTTCTTCAAAACCAAAATCAACCTTGTCTCAAAAAGAATCCCTCTCTCCAAATATGCCAGAAGTGAACCCAACTCTATCACTTTCCAAAATCCTAACTCCATCTGAATCAAAAATCCCAAGAAGTCTTTGGTAGATTTTGATGGAAGTTTAACTGAAATGGAACAGGGTAGATCTAATATTCTAGAGCGTGAGGCTGAAATTGTTGCTGCATTTGTGGAAGTCTTGAAGGATGGAGAAATTGGTAAATGTGCAAACTGAATCAGGGACCTGACCCCTCAAGTCCTTCTGAGGAAGTCAAATTTAATGATGATCATTTTCTTTTTGAGTTCTGTGTTTAAACGAACTTCCGATCCAGTAAAAAGGATTGATGAAAAGTAGGCTGATTGATGATCAAGTGGTGTAACCTGCTGATGTAATTGTGGAAGAGAGAATGAAGTGTAAAAAAATGGAGAAAAGAAAGTTGGCTGAGAAAGATACAGCAGATGATACGGGTAAACAGATTGAGAAGAAGAAGAGGGAGACATGGCTTATCAAGGATAGAAAGGGTAGTGTAAGTGAGGAACCTGGTTCCTTACAGAAGCAAAATGTTAGAGTCATCAAGTTTTGAGAGGTAGAAGACTCTGAAGTCTCAAAAGGTGCTGTTAGGCAGAGTGTTGACTCTGATATTACTGAAAAATGGAGAAACTTCTTGACATTGTTGAAGAAGAAGTAAAAACTTCTGTGTTGTATGTGATACTCTGATGCTATCTGTGCATGGGATTGAGCTTGTTCTTGATGAGGAGAAGCTTGGGGAGATTCTTGGTGATCTGGTTGATGGTTCAGCCTGCTCAGATAGGTAGAGAACCAGGTCCTCGTGGACCCTTGGCAGAATAGAATGCTAAGTTGAAGGGTGAGAATGAAAGATTGAGGAAATAGGTGGAGGAACTGAGAGAGCAGATGATCATTGATCAAAGGAGAGTGAATGAACGAATGGACAAGCTCATCAAGGCCTTAGACCCTTACTTTTCTTCCTGCCCAGTGATCCATGTATTTCACTCCTTCAAAATTCCCTCGAATTATTATCTTCTTTTGATCCCTATATTTGATGACTTTGGTACGTAGTTGTTTAAATTGTCATATTCTGTATTGTTGAAACTACTATGCTTTTGTTATAATTACTCTACTATGGGTAATCACTCTATTTTGTGCAATGACATTCACTTGTTGTTCTTGATATTATTTATGTTGTGTTGCCCAAGTGGCATGAGTTAATGTTGCTGAACTTCTTTTTGGTTGTGCTTCTTCTGTTATTCTTTTTAATGATGCCAAAAGGGGGAAGTTACATAAGTGTCAACATGGAACATAATCGAATTGATATGCTGTGTTGTGCATGAAAGATAGCTGCTTCGCAGGGGGAATGTTGCTGATAGCATGTTAATTATAGGTCTGATCCGCATGGGAACATGTGAGGTATCTGGTTCTCTAGGGGAACATCAATTTTGGGTTGGTCATCATCAAAAAGGGGGAAATTACTCTAAGTCATGATGTTTCATGTTTTGATGATTTGCCAAACGTTCTCAAGGAACCATGTACGGACCAGATATGATCAGTACATGTAAGGAATTTGATTCTCAGGGGGAATATCAATTCTATGTTTGTCATCATTAAAAAGGGGGAAATTGATAAGTTATGGTATCTTGTGTTTTGATGATTTGCCAAACATACTTGAAGAACCAGTTGTGATCAATTCCTTTGGTCTGGTTCTCATGGGGAATATGGATGATTCGCAGGGGGAACAATATGGAGATCTGGTTCTCAGGGGGAATATGAATTCTAAGTTTGTCATCATCAAAAAGGGGGAAATTGATAAGTTATGCGTCTTTTGTTTTGATGATTTGACAAACTTCATGAGAGAAACAGATAAGGAACCTGATACAATTAGTTCTCTTGCGTTCAGAGTAACCAGTCAGATGTCTGGTTCAATTCTCAACGAAATCAGATAAGGGAACAACAGAAGTAACAGATATGGATCAGCTCCCCTAGTCGTCGTATAGTCAACTCTACAACTTTAAACATTCTCAAGACTTTAAGATCACAATGATCCAGTTTGGGATATGGCTCAACTCTTTAGAGTCGAAGGAACAGCTGAGGGAGCAGGTCCCTATCAGTTCCCGAGGTGACTGTACAAAGTCAACTCTCCAGCTGGAAAGTGCTACCTGCACACACTACAGTGCAGGAACAGTGCAACAGTCACCTTTCTGCAGAAAACTTTTTACCTACCTTGCTTACATCATTGTATGTGAGGTCACACATGTATTATTAACAACAAGGGAGGTAAAACACAATCACTTGAACACTTGCAAAATCAAAAGAAAATATTCTCTCAAGTGCTAGACATAACCCTCTCAAGAACAAAGCTGGTGCAACCTCAAGGACCAGATCCAAAGATTGAAGATATCTTAAGTCCTTAGGTTTGTTGAGTCTTTGTTATTTGTTCTTCATTTGTAAGTCCTACTTAGTTAGAAGTATTGTGTAGGAAACCCTTTGTAAATCATAAACCCTTGTGTTTGTGTCTTGTCTAGAGTTAGTCGAGTTATGAAGTCTTTATAATAGAGTTATTACAAAATGTCTTGTAATAGTGTTGTTACAAGTTAGTGAGTGATTAAGTCTTTGTAATAGGGTTATTACAAAGTGGATTGTAATAGTGTAGTTACAAGTTAGTGATGGATTAAGAGGTTAATTCCTAGGTTACAATAGGTTGTAATCTAAAGACTGTTCAGTAGTGAATTTGAAATCCTACAAGGGTAGGTCGTGGTTTTTAATCCCGTTGAGCTGGGAGAAAATTCCTTTGTGTTCTTTATTTACTGCCGATTTACTGTGGGAACAAACAGAGAACCTGATTCCCTATACTGACAGTATGTTGCTTACAGTAGGAACTGATAGAGAATCCGGTTCTCTATACAGTTTGGTGGACGCTTAGTTTCTATCAGTGGAACTAGGATTTCCTGCACAACTCATCATATGGGTCCTAGAGTGTATGCAAACAGTCAATTATACTATATTGATTAATGGTGAACCATTATAACCTTTCAATGCCGCCAAAGGACTCAGACAAGGTGATCCCATGTCTCCTTTCCTCTTTGCCATTGCAAAATACTTGAGTAGGAGCCTGAAAGGAATGACAGATGTGGCAGATTTTCATTATCATCCGAGATGTTCAAAGCTAGTAATCACACACTTTGTGTTTCGCAGATGATGTGTTGCTCTTTGCCAGAGGTGATATCTCGTCAGTGACTGCACTACATCATTGCTTTAATCAATTTTCTGAAGCCTCAGGTCTAAAAGCAAACTTAGGGAAAAGTTCAATACACTTTGGTGGAGTGAGCAGAGATGACAGAGAAATAATCTAATATGAACTGGGTTTCTCTAAAGGGGAACTACCATTTAAATACCTTGGGGTTCCATTGTCGACCAAGAAACTTTCCCTAATACAGTGGCAACCTCTTATAGAGAAGATAGTGGCAAATATTTCATCATGGACTATAAAGAAACTGTCCTACGCAGGAAGAATTTAACTTGTCCAAACTGTTTTATTTGGTGTGCGAGCCTACTGGGCCCAACTGTTTGTGCTACCTGCTAAAGTCCTAAAGACTATTGATGCCTACCGTAGTAGCTACATATGGTCAGGCTGCAATACCATCACCAAGAAAGCTCTGTTTTCCTGGGATAAAGTTTGTGCTCCAAAAAGTATAGGTGGTCTTAACCTGACAAATTTACACATTTGGAATAAAGGGGCTAAAGCAAAGACCTACTGGATCTAGCACAAAAGCAGGATAAACTATGGATCACATGGATACACACATATTATATCAAAGGTCAATCAATAAACTCTGTGGCTATACCTCAACAAGCATGTTGGATGGTTGGGAAGATTATGGAAGCAAGGTCTACACTGGAGGAACTGCAATGCAATTTCAAAACGGGAAAGAGTATCACAAGGCAAATATACATACAACTGATAGGAGAGGAAACTAGAGTGCCATGGAAATGCATGATGTTCACCAATGCTGCTCGACCAAAAGCAAGATTTACGCTATGGTTGCAATTGCAGGGCAGGCTACTAACCGCTGACAGATTAGCCAAATGGGGAGTTGAGATAAATACTCAATGTGTGATGTGCCAAAGCTCAGAGGAAACTAATGAGCACCTCTTCCTGGAATGCGAATTTGCTAAAGAAGTATGGCATAGAGTGTTGAG